ACCTGTGTAACCAAAGGCCTCAATGAAATTGCTTTTATTTGAAAAATCAATACGGCTTTCTGTTTCCCTGACTGATACATTAATTTTCCAGCGAGGAGGACACTATTACTCAAAAGGCTAAATTAACTAGTTGAATTTTGTAATTAAAAATATAAAGATAAAATTCAAATATGAGGGAGAAATTGAGTGTTTATATTTCATATTATCCATAATATTATTCTTTAGGAGTTTAGCATTATTAGAACAAAATGCAAAACTATACCATAATCTAAGAACACTAAATTCTGACAGTAAGATATTCATCTTTAGGACAATGAGAAATACCAATTGGTGAGAGAATATAAGCTTATTATAAGCAATTCAAGCAATATATAAAAGCATAACAAAAAAAGTAAACAGATTTAGCCATAGACATACCCCTAAGAAATAATCTCCATTATGAACAGGTAAAAATTATTCTGAAACTCTATACATACATAGAAAAGGATACACAGAAAAGACTACAAATAGAATTCTATCACAATGTGATAATGTTATATATGTCACAATGAAAACAATATTAAATGGATTTCCCTTGAATTAAAGGAAATAAAAACGCTGCCATTCATTTTAAAAGAAGAGGGAGGAGGAGGATAATAAAAAGGTCAGGAAAACCTTAAAAAATTAGTGTGTTAACATTTAATTTTTATTAATACAGACTCTCATATTTTACTAGTTCCTTGCTTCCCTCTTGTTTTCTTGGTTATATTATTATTTCTTAGTTATACTATTACTTCTACCTCGTCAAAGTTTATAACATTTTAATTCTATTCTATAGTTATAATTCTTATAGTTGTCAAGGATTGGTTCCATATTTAAAGAATTTAATCTCTATTCTTAGTTCTTTCGCCAAGATTCTTCTTGAGTTATTGTGATTTATCTCTTAGATAGCTTAATTTCACCATTAATTTCTTCTTTTCAAATTGGGCTCAGGAATGTTACATTCCCTGAAGTTTTATATATTTGATAATGCTTATCTATTGACTTTAGACTTGAATGGGAACCTGGTTAAGATTAAGTATTTTTCAGTCACCTTTTTCCTTTGAGACTTGGTAGACAAAGGGTGGCCCACAAGCTATACACAAGCCTGAAGAAAAGTTTTATTTGGCATTCACAGTGAAATCTTTAATCCAAACTGATAAACCTCTAGCAAGACTTATAAGGTAAAAAAAGAGAGAAGATACAAATTACCAATATCAAGAATGAGAGAAATGACATTAATACATTCTGGAGATACTGAAACTATAATAGGGGAGTGTTACAAACTTTATGCCAAAAACTTTCAAAAACTTAGACAAAATAGATAAATTCCTTGAAAAACATATACTACCAAAGCTTGCCCAGGAAGAAAGAGAAAACCCGAACTGCTTCATATGTATTAAAGAATTTGAATGCATTGTTCAAAAGATTTCTATGAATAAAACTTCTTCCCTAGGTGGATTAATTGGAAAATTCTATCAAATATTTTTAAAGGAAATAAAATTACCACAGAAACTCTTCTAGAAAACTAAAAATGAGGGAATAATTCCCTACTCATTCAATGAAGCCAAAATTACCCTGAAACCAAACCTGATAATAATATTATAATAAAAGAAAAGCAAAGAAAAATATCCTTCATGAACATAAATGCAAAAATTCTGAAGAAAATGTAAGCAAATTAAATAATATATAAAAAGAATAATAAATCATAACCAAGTGGGGTTTCTCCCAGGAATATAGGGTTAGTTTACCACCTGAAACTCAATTCATGTAATTTATCATATAAACAAACCAAAAAGAAAACCCTTATGATCATCGTAATAGTTGCAGAAAAAGCATTTGACAAAAACCAATATCCAATCCTAATAAAAAACAAATGAGAAACAGAGGCACTCCCTGTAAATATTCAACAAGGATATAATGGAAATTATAGCATGCCTAGACTGTAAATAATTAAACATAGCTGATTTATTTAGAAAATAATGACTTGGAATACAGTCAATGGAACAGGTTTCTCAAGTCTGGTTATATCATGAGAACCTACAGAACTTTTTGCTAATACAGACAAAGGGACCACACTCCTTGCAGATTTTGCCTCAGTGGGTATGTGTGATTAATAAAGATTCTATAGTTCAATAAAGTAGCCTTTATTTTAAAGGGAGGAAAACTCCAACAGTAAAGCATCAAAGCATAAGCAATACTTACCAGTACCGAAATTTTGAACCTAATGTAAAATAATGTGCAAAAAAATTCTTTTGAGGTGGAAGAGGTCTGTCCAAACGGAAGAATGTGTGGTGTTCTACACATGCTTTCCACAAATTTTTACATGCTCTGTAATTCACCATGTTAAATCCCAATAATGTTTCTCTAGATTCATGCTGTAATAAATGATAAAATGCAGAAAATATGAAAATGTCAGGATCTAATGCTCCATTTAATTTACTTTTTACAGATAAATATTCTAGCCTTACAAACACTAATCCCTCAAGTATCTTTGTTGCTTCCAGTAAAAAAGCAGTAAAATAAATGGAAAGGAATGCAAAATCTGGATGTCATTCAGCAATATTACAACTCTTAGAAACTTTCACTTTAGAACATAGTTAGAAATAAATTTAAAAATTGATACATAACTGTTTTCAAAATTTACTATTTGTATATGTATATAAAAAACTTACTAGCTATAATTGGTTCAAACTATAATCTTGGCCCACAAATTAAATTTATTAAGATATATCAACATACCTTTCAAAAATATCTCTAAATTTATAAATCTGTCAAGATTGTAAATAAGTAAATAAAAACATTCAGCAGTCCTGAACACTATTTTGAAACCCGTATTTTAAAATAATAATAGAACAGAAGCATTTCATTAATTTTTCTTTAAAAATCTGGCACAAATGACTATTTAAATAAATAGTTTCACTGAAGAAAATCATATATAGTAAGATATACATGTCCTAAGTGGATTTATGACTGATTTTCACACAATGAGTGCAACCTTTGAACCGTCAGCCAGATCAAGAAATGGATCATTACAAGCACCTCTGAAGTATCCCTTGTCTTCCCTTTCTACTTTCACAAATATGAGCACTCTTCTGACTTTTGTGACCATAGATTAGTTATGCTTGTTTTTCAACTTTATATACATGGAATCATACATGTATGTCTTTAGGTCTGACTTCTTTTGTTCAGTATTATGTTTCTGTATTCATCCATGTAATTGTGAAGCAGTAATTGACTCATTTTCATTCTACATAGTATTCTATTATTGTTGATACATATTTGATGTTTCTAGTTTGGTGATATAAAATATTGCTCCTATATATACACTCATCCCTATATTTTGTCTGATGTGCTAGTTTCTGTCATTGGATCACAGATACGCATGTATTCTAGATACTACCCAACAGTTTTCTAAAATGATTATACCAGTATATGCTCCCTCCTACCAGCAGTGCATGCTTCTGGTTACACACATACACAAAAATACTTGTCATATTTTAGTGATAATTTGTACTTCCCTGAAGTTTAATACGGTTCAACACTTTGTCACGTTATAGGCCATGTGGATTTCTGAAGTGTCTGTTCAAGTCATTAGCATGTTTTTGAATTGGTCTGGATATACAACCGAGGACATGGTATATATCTGTGTGTGTATTATACACATATTCTGTGCTATTTTACTTTCTAAATGATGTCTTTTGATGAACATAGTTCTTAATTTTAACACAGTCCAAGTTATTGATCTTTTCATTTAAGGTTAGTTTTTCCTTCTATGCCCTATTAACAAAATCTTTGCCTATCAAAAGATCATGAAGATACTTTCCATAACTAAAATATAGTAAAATGCCCATGTATAAATATTAAACTATGATGTTAGAAGACAATATGCTTAAAATACCATTTCTTGATCACCAGGCAAGTCTTAATTATGCTTAACAATTGCTTTGTATGCAACAACACTACTTCAGAGAATGGTTGTGAAGATGAAGTGATAAGAAAATGGTTCATACATTACTAGGCACATAGTAATACTTCAATAAATAATAATAAATATTCTTATTATTATTACTAATAACAATAGTACTATAATGGGAAGCAAATTAGAAAGGTTGACTTCAACACTGCCTCTTACCAATATAATTATTTAAAGTAAAATACTTGTTCTCTAGTTTCCAGACATGATTCATTATATTTCAGTCAACATTTTTAAACAGGTACAAGAATATTCACTAACAATATTAGTCATAATAGCCAAAACATGGAAATGGCAAAGTTGTCCACTAACACAGTAGGAATGAATAACTAATTTATGCTATATTCATTCAGTAGAATACCACACAGCAATGGGAAAAACTATTGCTATGTGTAACAACATGGATGAATCCCACAATGTCAAGGCAAAGAAGGGAGACAAAAAGAAAACATTAGGATTTCATTTTCTAAAGCTTAAAAATAAGCAAACTAATCCACAATGTTACAAATGAGAATAATGTTTATCTTGAGGAAAGTTAATAACTGCTAGTGGGCCACTAATAACAGCTTCTGGGGTATAAGTAATGTCCTACATAATAACATTATATATTATATACTTAGCAAGCACTATACTTAGTTTTACTTCAATAAAAACCTTCATGAAAAAAACTTCCATATTTTGTGAGTATAAATGATGAAACATAGTCACTTAGTAGATCAATACCCTCTGATAAAATACATCTGATTCAAAAATATTTTTAAGGTTATGAATACATTTTACATACATATACACATATAAATATCCTGAAATGTGCATTAATATGTCAAGACTTATAATATTCTAAGTCAAAGGATATGGTTAGTTTAATTTGATGAAATAGATAAAATCATTTATAAGGTGAAATTCTTTCCAACACTGTACTTTCCATAACTCAATATGCTGTATTTAATATATAAAAAGGACATTACCACTTCAACAAAGGGAGGAAATGTACTAAACGTTCATAAACTGGAAACATAACTAAACACTCAAGTTCCCTAAAATGAAATGAATGTATACATGAAAGGAAGTGCTAGTTAGTTAACAAAAAAACAAAAAACAAAAAACAAAAAAAGGGAAAAGAAAAAGGACATATAAAATGCTCAGTTACTGACTTCATGGATGTACTCTGGGGACCAAGAATGAACATTACAATTGAGATCAGTTTCTAAGTTCAAGAGATAGCAGGATGGATATGCAGAATAACTTTAAATCAGAACCATAGGGGAGGGTATAGCTCAAGTGGTAGAGTGCATGCTTAGCATATATGAGGTCCTGGTTCAGTCCCCAGTACCTCCTCTAAGAATAAATAAATCAATAAATCTAATTACCTTCCTCCATCAAAAAAAAAAAAGCTTCAGAAACACTGGGAAATACACTTTTCATAAAACATGAATTAATTAACTCAGTAGGCAATTATCAACAGTATTAACAACACTTTTACTCTCACTAAAAGTTCTGTCATGAATGACTAATTATTTCTTAAAAGACTCAATTTAATAAGTATTAGATCCACACTCACCAATTCCTTTCTAAGTTGAATAAAAAATTGTTTGCACTTGAAAGAAATTTTTACAATCTTCAACCTGGATAAAAAGAGAATGAATTGGAGTGTATGAATAATTGAATAAAGATGACAGTATTAACAAAAAAGTAATTAAAAAATATTTAAACTATATACAGAATAACATCTAAAAATTTAATTATAAATACATATATATAGTACATAAAGAATCTAAAGTTTTTGGTGATTTATGAAAAAATAATTAGAATTTATGTGCTCAATTGAGGAAAGTTTTATTACAATATTTAGTGTGAACTAACACTTTCCAATTTTATATCTAAAATACATAAAAACACATATCATAAGTTAAAATTCCAAAAATACCAATAATGTAGTTATTGATTCTTTGAAACTAAAGTAGTTTTCTGCTTATGCATGTAATGAGCTTGGAAATGATCCCTCCATCCTAACAACAAATAAAAAACTCAACAGACTGAAAATCAGCAACTCCTCTTGGATCCAAAAGAAAGGGGAGAGAACAAGGGAAACTTCTACCCCCAAGACTTGAGAGACTAACAGTTGAGTACAGGGAAACACAGCTTACAAGAGAAGAGACTCATGAGCAGAAACTGACAGAGGAACCAGTGCTGGGGTATGAAATCTAAACTGTAATTTATAAATTGTTGAAGGCTCAGTGTGACCAACTCCAAGAGTTAAAAACTCCAAGGGGACCCAGTCATAGGAGGGTGCTCATAATATTGTGAGATTAACCTTGAGAAGCTCAACCAGACTCTGAAAGTAAATATCAGAGAAAAATACTCTTGGGTTTCCGGCAGGAAGGGGGGGAAAGAACCATGTTGAAATAGGTCAGAGCACTCTGTTCTTAAAAAGGTCTGCCTTCAGGGGAAACTAGTTAAACAGAACAGAACCTGCTGGGGATATTATCAAGCCTAACTCCCACTCTACCCATCCTGCCTCATGTAATGGTGGAGCAAAAAACTGAGAAACACTTGAAAAGCTAAGTAATAGGCTAAAAGCTCTAAGGGATAAAGAAGAAAGGAAAAAAGATGGGCAATATAAGCACAGAACAAAAATCGTAAGAACCTCAAAATACAAAATTAATATACAGAAATCTGTTGCATTTCTATACACTATGAACGAACTAACAAAAAGAAAAATTAAGGAAATAATCCTATTTACCACTGCATCAAAAAGAATCAAATACCCAGGAATAAACCTATCCAAGGAGGTAAAAGATCTATACTTGGAAAACTATAAGCCACTGATGAGAGAAGTTGAAGATGACATAAAGAAATGGAAAGATATACCATGTTATGGATTGGAAGAATTTATACTGTTAAAATAATCATATTACTCAAGGCAATCCACAGATTCAATGCAATCCCTATCAAGTTCTCAGTGGCACCTTTCACAGAACTGGAACAAAAAAATGTTAAAAATTGAGTGGGAACACAAAGGACCCTGAATAGCCAAAACAATTTTGAGAAAGAAGAATGGAGCTGTAGGAATCACTCTCCCTGACATCAGACTATACTACAGATCTAATAATCAAAACAGTATGGTAGCCCATCAACAGACGGATGGATAAAGAAGATGTGCTACACACACACACACACACACACACATATATATATGATGGACTATTACTCAGCTATAAAAAAGAATGAAATAAAGCCATTTGCAGCAAAATGGATGGATGTAGAGATTATTATATTAAGTGAAGTAAGTCAGAGAAAGACAAATATCATAGTCTCACTTATATGTGGAATCTAAAAAAAAAATGATACAAATGAACTTAATTTGTAAACCAGAAATAGACTCACAGACATAGAAAACAAACTTATAGTTATCAGAGGGGGAAGGGTAGGGGGATAAATTAGTAGTTTGGGATTAACATATATACACTACTATATATAAAATAGATAAACAACAAGGTCCTACTGTATTGCACAGGGTACTATATTCAATATCTTATAATAACCTATAATGGAAAAGAATCTGAAAAAGACTATATATCTATATCTATATCTATATCTATCTGTCTATATATATAACTGAATCACTTCACTGTACTCCTGAAACATAACACTGTAAATCAACTATACTTCAATAAAATTTTTTTTAAAAAAACTAGTATGAAGGTTAAAATACAAAAGTAATATAATTAACTAAAACTAAAATAACTAGCTAAGAGATACAAAAATAAAAAGATGTAAAATATGTCATCAAATACATAAAATGTGATAAGGGAAAAGTGAAAGCGTAAGAATAAAAATGACGTTTTTCACAGAAATAGAACAAACTTGAATGGCACCATAAAAAACATGAATAGCCAAAGCAACTGTGAGAAAGAACAAAGCTGGAGGTATCGTGCTCCCTGATTTCAAACTATACTAAAAAGCTATAGTAATCAAACCAGTCTGGTACTAGCACAGAAATAGACACATAGATCACACAGAATACAGAGCCCCCAAATAATCCCATGCTCATATGATCAATTAATCTACAACAGAGGAAGCAAGAATATACAATGGAGAAAAGATAGTCTCTTCAATAAATGGTGTTGGGACACCTGGACAGCTACAGGCAGAAGAATGAAACTGGACAACTTTCTTATACCATATATAAAAATAAACTCAAAATAGACTGAAGACCTAAATGTAATACCTGACATCATAAAAGTCCTAGAAGAAAACATAGACAGTAACCACTTTGATATTGGGCTCAGTAATATTTTATTTGGTATGTCACCACAGGTAAGGACAGCAAAAGGGATGATATCCAAATATATAAAGAACTCATATAACTCAATATCAAAAACAAACTCAATTAAAAAGTGGACAGAGAACCTGAATAAACATTTTCACAAAGACATACAGATGGCCAACAGGGATCTTACAAGGTGCCCAACATCACTAATTATCAGAGAAATATAAATCAAAGCTACAATGAGATATCACCTCACACCTCTCAGAATCACTGTTATCAGAAAGACAAGAAAAAAACAATTGTTGGTGAGGGTGTGAAGAAAAAGGAATCTTTATTCACTGTTAGTGGGAATGTAAATTGGTGCAGCCTCTATAGAAAACAGTATGGAGGTGCCTCAAAAATCTAAAAATAGAACTACCATATGATCCAGCAACTCCACTTCTGGGTACTTACCCAAAGAAAATAAAAATAGTACATCTAAAAGATTTATGTTCCCCTATGCTCATCACAACACTATTTGTAACAACCAAGACATGGAAACAACCTAAGTGTCCACTGATAATGAACAGATGAAGATGTGGTATGTGTACACATATACACATACATACTTACATACATATAATGGAATGTGACTTAGCCATTAGAAAGAATGAACTCTGGCAATGTGGATAGATCAAAAGGTATTATGCTAAGAGAAATAACTAGAAAGAGGAAAATACTGTATGATTTAATTTTTATGTGGTATCTAAAAAAACAAAACAAACAAAACAGAAAGAGACTCACAGATACAGAGAACAAACTGGTGGTTTCCAGAGGGGAGGCGGGTTCATGTAAAGACAAAATAGGTAAAGGGAATTTAGAAGTACAAACTTTCAGCTATAAAATAATTCATGGAGATGTAGTATATACATGGGGGCTATAGTCAATAACACTGTAATAATTTTATATGGTGACGGATGGTAAGTGGTTTTATTGTGGTGATTGTTTCATAATGTATAGAAATGTTGACTACGTGTACACTTGAAACTTACATGTTATATTAATTATAACTCAATAAAAATTGTATTGAAGCTTGTTTTATGACTCAAGATATTTTCTCTCCTAATAAACAGACCATGTACACTTGATAAGAATATGCACTCTGTTGTTACTAGGCACAGTACTGTACATCAATTATGTCAAAAGATTTAGCAGTTCTTGAATCTATTTCGGCACATTTTTTGTCTAGTTTTTGTACTGACTTCTGAGAGGGATATGATTGTATCCCTCCAACTATGATTGTAGAATTGTCTATTTTTCCTTATTTTTTGCTTCATGTATTTTGAAACTGTGTTATTATGCACATGTATACATACAACTGTTCCTGTCCTGGTATATGGGTCACATTTTCCTTTATCTTTGCTGGAAACCAGATGTTTTACATATTACATTGTAGTGTTATGCTTCTGGTGTTGCTCTTCAGGAAGGCACAGTCTTGGGTATGCCCACAGTAATCCTGAGATGACACAGGTACTAGTCATCCCATTCTTTCAAAAACCACACCCAACTGTAAAACTCCTCTAATTGCCAACATCTGCTCTATTGTTTCCAACAGTGCCCTGGGGCATGAATTCCTTTAGACACTAATCCAAACAAACTGTGACTATTTCAAAGGAACAGTTTCTGAGGAAGGTGTCTGAGGCTACTATTTCCTGTGTTATCATTTTTTTTATCTCCTCTGTGGTCTTTGGATTTCCCTAGAGACTCGTTCTTAATTAGTCTGAGCTTTGCAGTTATTTAAGTTGTAACCCTCTCGTATTATACAAGATCTCTGTTGGTGTGGCAGTTAATTGTGGGGTTGGGGAGGAATCCTTCTTTAATCCTATAATTAGGTATCAGTGGTTCAGTGGTCTGTGCCCTTTAGCTTTGACCTTCAGTACTTTTACAGCTCACCCCCTCCTTAGGTGAAACAATAAGTACAGAGGGACTGGAAATAGGTATTTCCTTTCCCCCACCTTGGTTAGGTTCTGATAAAACCCACGTTGGTTAAGTATTGGTAAAACAGATTTTCTTGAAGGCAGACCTTTGTTAAGAGAACAGAAAGATCTGAGCCTATTTCAAAATGGTTACTTTCTTGCTCAACTCCCCTCTCCTGCCCTCCAAAGCATAAATGGATTTTTCTCCCATCTTTACCCTGAGAATCTGGTGGGCTGCCTGGTTGTAAAACTCATGATAGCATGGGGCTATTCCTAAGCAGGTCCTCCAAGAGTTTTTATCTGTCAAGCTAGTCTTTATTCAGTCTCCAGCAATTAGTTGATTATCCTTTAGGTATTCCTACCAGTTGCTGGCTGCAGTAGTGGTTTCTAGTCTTAGTAAGCTGTCATTCCTTGTATTCATCTGTCTTTCCAGTTTTCAGAGCTGCAGTATGCCCTCAGTTCTCTGAGGGACCTAAAAAGAGTTGTTGATTTTGAGTTTTATTGAGAACTTTTTTTCTTGTGAGGACAGGGGTGACAACTTCCAAGGTCTTTAGCTACTGGACTGGGAACCAGAACTCTCTCCTCCCTTTTTCATTTTACTAATGATGTTTTTTGATGAGCATTAATTTTAATGAAGTCTAATTTATAGAATCCAAATAACTCCCAATTAAGTATTCAACATTTTAAAAGCATGAACTTGAACTGGACAATTTAGGGATAACCATACATGGAAAGAAATGAGGGAGTATATTCATTACATGGGACACTAGTTTTTCTACGTGTAGCTCTGACATGGAGAGAAGAGGTAAGTGAGAAGCTTGTGTTTCAGAATCTGAAAGACCCAGGTTTAAAGCTCTGCTTCATACTTATATTGTTAACCCTGAGCCAGCCAACTTTTCTGGCATTTCATTCCAAGTTGCAGGGTCATAAGGTATAGATAAAATGCATTAAAATCCATGAGTGATTTTTTTTTCCCTTGTCTTGACCTTATAAAACTATCAGTTCTTCCACCTTTACTCTAAACTCTTCATTCATGTAGGAATTCCACAATTTAATTTTTGGCCTGAATATCTTATATAAAATACTAACATAAGATAAATGTAGCTGAAATGTACATGATACAACATCAGAGCTGTAGTAACTGTCAGTCTGCATCAAGTGATTTGTTTATGACTTCTTCAAGGAGACTTACACAACATTTTGCTAAAATATCAATTTAAAGGCAATGGCAATTCTCTGAATGTTAATTTGAATAAGGGGGATGAGGCTGAAATGGTCCCTTATTCACATATAATATTAATAAGAAATATGTTGCTTTTGTGAAAATAGATCCATACTTTAAGAACTAAAACCATATATTTGATGATTATCACAGAACTTAATGATTTCTTTGGAAGTCAAGTGATACTGGAAATCAATTCTGAATCATAGGCATCTGTGGTATATTTATAAATGTATTCTTAATGTAGTATGTACTGCTATAAGCAGTTAGAATCAGAAGAAATTCTTATGTTCCAGGATGGTGCAGCTTTAACAACTTTAAATCCTATCTATTTAGTTTAATTCTTGAAAATAAAAATTTAAAAGAATACTATGTAATATTTTCCAATCAATATCTTAAATGTTCATGCTCTTTTTTTTTTTTTTAAAAACTTGTATAATAAAGACTTGGAAATATGAGTTCTACTTGTCAACATGAAACTGGCTTAAAGCATATTTACTAATAAAATACAAAAACAACTCTTCAGCATATGGAATATATAAAATCCTTCATAATCTGAATCTAATTTATCTATTAAGCAACATCTTTTTAAATCCTTTCTCCCTTGCTTCTGTCCTCAATGAAGACAATTGGAAAAAAAAAAGAAATCAAACCAAATATCCCATCATAGCCTCAACCTGCCACGTCCTTTCTTACTATTAGGCCTCTGCAAATGTTTGGTACCTCTACCCTGAATCCTCCCATTGACCCCTCTATATATACATTCCACACTTCCATTTCACTGAGGAAGTTTCTACTCATTGTTTAAACTCATTTCAAATATTATGGGGGACATTTTCCCTAGAGAGATTATGTCCTTGGTGTTTCCAAAAAAATGTCAAAAACTCTTCTAGAATTCTTATTTTATAATAATAAAAAAGGAATATATAATATAGAATTTTTAATGCAGAAAAATTTAGATTATCATGATGTTATTTTAACCCATATCATCTGAAAAGAATTTATTTCTCATTTTGACATTTATATAAAATGTAAAATTAATAAAAAGCAAAATAAGGTATTTTTAATTGTCTTTAGTACAATCAGAAATGTATTAAAATTGAAGACACACATTTACCATTATGAAAATCAACAATAACTATCTTTTCTGAAGCTTAAATTTAATTTATAATTTTTCTTATTATGTTTTAAAATTAATTTTTATGTATCCACTTATAGGCAAGAACTATGTCTTGAACTGTTTTGTATTCTCCTCTGAACATAACAAAATTTGAAATTTATAGGAAAAATTTAAAAGATGTGAGCTGAAACACTGAATACTCATTAGTTTTCTTTTATGAGCTTTAGAGAAATATTAAAATATAAAATGAAATGTCCCAATTTTAGGTGAACAATTAAATGAGCTCTGACAAATGTATTCAGTTGTGTAACTGCCACACACCAAAATCATCATGTAGCAATTTCCATCACCTCAAAATGTTCCCTTGGCACTCCTTTCCAGTCAATCACCTCCCCCCATTTTCAATCCCTGTCTACTAATAGTCTGCTGTCTCTTTAATGTGTGTTTTCTAAAATTTCATATAAATATAAACAGAGTACATCATCTTTTGTGTCTGGCTTCTTACACTTGGTATAATGTTTTGATGATAGGATCAACCATGTTGTTTAGTGTGTCAATAGTTCATTGCTTTTTATGTGCTGTTTACTGCTAAACGGTATTCCATTGTGTAGATACACCACAATTTATTTGTCCATTCACCAATTGATGGACACTTGAAATTCTGTTCTTTGCTAGTATGAATAATGTAGCTATGAACACAAGGTATACAATCTTTGTATGAACTTATGTTTTCATTTTTCTCGGGTAAATATCTAGGAATAGAACTGCTAAGATTATATACTAAATCGACATTAAGCCCTTAAGAAACTGACAAACTGTCTTCCAAAGTTGGTCTACTAGTTTGCAGTCCCACCATCAATATAGATTGAGATTTCAGTGCTCTGCGCTTCCTTGCCATCATTTGGTACTCATTTCTTTTCAATTCGAGTTATTCTAGTGGGTGAACAGTAACAGTTCACTGTGGTTTTAATTTGCATTTCACTGATGACTGAGCATCTTTTCATGTACTTATCTGCCATTTGTATATCTTCTTCGGTGGGGGTATCTATTCAAATATTTTGCATATTCTTTTAAATCAAGTTGTCTCATTACTAAGCTATAAGAGTTCTTTATACATTTTTTTAAAAGCCCTTTATCAAATATATTTTACAAAAGCCTGTATCTTGTCTTTTCATCTTCTTTAGAGTGTCTTCTAGAGAGCAAAAATATTTACTTTTGATGAAGTTTATTTCACCAATTTTTTATTTTATATTTCATGCTTTCCTAGATAGTGACCTATTTGGGAAATTCAGTTTCTTAACATAGTTGTGGCAATTTTCTGAAAAGCTTCTGTCACTTATATGTCTATTCAAGTGTTATAAAAGTGACTAATTACAAAAACCTATTAAATAAAAATCACAGATATTGAAAAAATAGGACCAAATCTTTTAGGAGACACAAAGAGAAACAAATTAATACAATACATTTCTTTCGTACTTGTTTCTTCTCTTAAAGAAAACCATTGGTTTATTTTTAAAAACCTGAGTTACATATATGACATATACACAAGGGATATAATCACATAGTGATTTTTACAATTTTCAAATTATCCCGTTAAAGAGAAGTGGCAGATGCTACTTTTCCTTTTCCATCATTTTGGGATACAGAAATGATGATGGGTGAATTATCTTGGACAATGAAGACAAGGACAACATGCTAAAGACAACAGAGCAACAGAACGAAAGAAACATGAGTTTTAAACCCTATGGAGTCACCACACTTTCCTTACATCAATTTAAACCAGTGTAATAATAGGTCTTTGTTGCAGCCACCATGTCTAAGTTCTAGCTAATAAACTAGTACCCACGGAATGCATTTAAATGAAATACTGTATTTTGAACAATTAGCATGGTGCAAGACAGAGTAAACATGATATTAGTTATTATACTACAGTACAAATTTAGAGATTCTCTACAAGAAAAATTCATAAAGTAATATTTTCTATAAACTAAGAAACTTTTGAAATAAGTAGTTCAATTATTTTGGTATCTTCTGGTAGATTCCAAGTAAGTGAGATAAAGTTGTATGCAACATTAAATAGTTCACAAGCCACTTTCTTTAATATGAATTATTATAGTTGGTAATATAATAGTAAAAGCAAAAGCACTGATGGAAGTTCTTACCACGGAAAGGTATTCATTCGTACTCTGTTCTTATAAATCAGAATTCCTCCTGACATTACTCCAATCATAATTTCATTGTTACTTTGATCCTTCAAAAAATAAAAAAGAAAATGACAAATCTAAAATTATGGGCTTTAACTGTTAAAGATATATTTTTAAAATATTAGTTTTTTTTTAACAGAATGTGACATTATCAAAGGCAGCATATAACTGCATAATATTTACAAACCCATATGGTAATTGTTATCTCATAAAAATAAAGGATATATGTCAAATCAAACTTAAATGTTGCATTATTAAAATTCACTAATCTAAAGCAAAAGCGATCCCAGGATTTTCAATAGTTTGTAACTGGGACTGACTCTCTGGAATAGAAAATCAAAGGCCTTTTCAGAATCTTGTAGAATGATAAGTTAGTATCTATCCTTCCATTTCCAAAACTATTAAGATCTAATCACTGTGTTAATATGGTGCTGGGATTGCAAAAATGAGTAAAACATGGAGGAGTTCAAAGTTTGGTGACGGGCAACCTGTAATGAGACAGTATTTCCAAAATAATGAGAAGTTCTGTAACTAATATAATACAATAAAAACATCATGGAAGTATAGAGTGGGCAACAATTGTTGGAGAGTTTGGAAGACTCCAGAGAAGAAAACTTGAATTATGCTTTGATGAACGAGTGAGAGTTTTCACGCTAACTGATCCAACTTGAATAGGTAACCTGCACTACTGAGAGAGTGAATAGAATTAAAACACTTTTCTCAGATGCTGATCAACCTTGAAAGTTTTGCTTCTTGACTTAAAACATACTACAGGCAAATTAATACAACAATAATGCTTCTATTCCCTATCATTCATTTCCTTGGAAGATAGAAAATATAATCAAGATTTTCTAATTGTCTTCTAAGACACTGTGGTGTACATTAATTTGGCTGCTCATTTGTTTAGCAGTAACAAGCACTACTGTACACTATTATCAGTCTCATCATTTTTTAAAGGACATCAATTAGAAGTTTGAATCAAGATGGCAGGCTCAGCCTAAAAGATGGCAGACTTAATATATGCTCCAATTACTCCTCCTGCTCCCAATCTCATAAAACATCGGAGAAGATAAATGAAAACAGAAAAAAATCTGTAACATTTGAAAACTATCCATAACAATTAAAAGTATATAATCAATGGACCAAACATTTTGAGGAATCTATAAAGACAAAGAGGATATGATCAGATTTATGGAGAGAAAAAAAATGACAGAAAACCACAGCCCAAAGGCAACCCTCAAATTACTGTCAGGATGATCAGGCAGAGAGTTGCTAAGGTAATTAGCTAACAGCCCTACAATCCTGCCCCATCTGGACTGAGCTATAGGACACAGAAGTGTGCACAGCCTGTCTAAACTAGCAAGTGTGGATACTGAGGACAGGAATTAGAGGATCCCTTAAGGGATGGAGAACCTAAAACTGAAAAAGGCAAACCATAGGCACATTCTACCTGATGATATATTCCTTCCCTCCTCCATCACCATCTAAAACAGGCTTTAGTAAAGACAAACAACATGCACGACCAAGTGAACTAGGAATCACAAATACTAAGGGAAGTACACAAGCAAGGATCACCAAGCACTTGAGAAGAACTAATACCATTAAAGAGATACACGAAATTCAATAAATAGATAAGTCAATCAAGCTGCTATGTTGGTAGAAAAACATGTTAAAGAAGCATGTTCCAGGATATATAGGAACTCAAGTTCTTAAGTTAGTTATCTAGACTAAAGTGGTAGTTCCCAAGGTGTTGCCAGAGTTGGGCAAGATAAAACAAGAAAATAAGTATTATATCTTTTATGGGTACAAATGCTATTAATTCCAATGTACAGAAAAATGCACACTGACCACCTTATTTTAAAATATTTTCCTTTGATTTTCTTCTTATCACTACTATCTAATATGATGCTACAAATTCACTTCTTTAATCCGTTTGTTTTTTCTCTTCTTCACTAGAAGCTAAGTAGCCAAGGGCAGGGGCTTCGCTTTGTGCACTGTTAGGTTCTTAGATGTAGAAAAGTGCCTTGTACTCATTTGTGGAGTGAATGCACCTCTATCATCTGTAGGAAAACGTCTTAGTTGCTCAGCTTGGCACTGAAGGCCTTTAAACCACCATCTCATCCCATTTTATTTCTCCCTTTCTAATTAGTAAAAACCTTCCTGTCAGGCCAGTTTCATGCATTCTGTGTACCCACAATTACATGTTTTAATTAACGCTGCTCTCATGCCTTCTTTATGTCTCTCTGATGAATCCAATAAAACCAAACCAAAGTCTTGATCAAGTCCACCTTCTCTGTGAAAACTTCATTAGCTTACATCTCATAAGTATGTATCTGTCTCTCAAACCACTTACTGGAAATACCCAATTACTGTTAGGTAAGACAACAGCTGGAATTGTATATAACAGTAAAAAGGACCAGTTATTTTTTTTTGTTTAAATTTCCAATCTGTCAGGTACTAATACTTTTGCAAAATATACCAATCATATGCTTGATGTCAGATGGCCATAAAAGTTTTAAAATTCTCTCAATTTCTGTACCAATCTAACCATGGACCAGTAACAAACAGTTTATGGATCAGCCCCAGTCTGTGGTCATACTTTGGGCATTAATGAACCATCGTATCATTTCACATTCCTTTACGGTAATCATAAAATCCATCTTAATAAAAGGATTAGGGGTGGAAGCGGGAAGGACAGAGACAACCAAAATATGTAAATATGATGGATTTTGTGCTTTATAAATAAAAATTTATAATGATGTCACTAAATGACAAAAAAGAGTGCAGTAATATAGGCCTCAGTGAAGTCAAAGCATCTTTTATAACAATGATTTTCACAAAAGTAAAATATACAAATAACTACTTTTCCCATAGCAATCTTTATTTTGCAAAATAAAAACTCTAAAGGTACTGTCTCTTATAGTAAAAAATTATCTTTATAACATAAAACACTACCTTGAAGAAAAATAACATGAAAAATACACTCCAACCATACTTGTCAGGTATTGAATCTTAAGTGATTATGATTTTGAAAATACTTCTATTCACAGAAAGTTTTCAGAGCAACTATGTTGGCAGCACTCACTATTCCATTTGTTGCCCAATCCTATTAAGGCATTAAAAGTTTTTGATACTGAGTAATGATGCCTAACAACAATATCAAAATGTTTTCTTCACTTACCCTTGCATAGTGGAATTCAACTCCATAGAGTTCTAAGGTACGTGCCGTGTTCAGGTAATTAAATTCTGCTTCTGCAGGAGATAAGCCTCTGTAAAGACATCCTTAGGTTAAAAATTATAACAAAATCACAAATATGATCAAGTTACAAAAAAGCTATTTATGTGGAAAATTTTCAGCATTCTTGTTAAATCTTTTACCAAACACCACGCAGGACTACGCCTCTTAATTCTATAAAGTAACATCTACCTTATCTGGAGGGTACATTTTCAGTAACATAAATTATTAGTTTGTAGAGTATCTTCTTATTTCCCAGGAATACAAGAATGCACCAAGTTTTTAAAGCCCCTAGGTGTACTCATGGATGTTACAAAGTCACTTAGACTTAACTTAAAACAGTATTTTTCAAAATTTGGCCTATACCCCTTATGTGCATTTAAATTACACAGGGTGCTTCTGAAACATTCAGCTTCTGAGGCAAGCTCCAGAGCAGTACTTCTTAGGGTGTGTGCACAGACAGGTGCGATTCATAACAAGTACAGAAAGTGAGAGTGTCCAAGCCTTTTGTAGCACTTTGGCAGAGTAATTTCATGTCTGTTGCATCTAACAATAAAAAAAAGTACTTGTAATTTTTTATGACTTCGTTTATTTCTGCATTTTACTTTTCTAGTAATTCATTTTTATTATATTTTCAGAAGTATTATTCCATGACAGATTGGGAAGAGGTTTGGGGAACTTCTGTTTCATCACAAACAGTTTCAGAAGAACTGTTCTATAGAAACTGATATAGAATAAATGGGGTCCAATTTGTTTATATTTAAGAAATATTCCAGGTGATTCTTATGAACACAAGTTTGAGAACTACTGTTTTAACTGCAACGCCTTTAAAAATAGATTTACTCCTATATTACATATAGTTCTAACCACACTGGTTATCTGATATCATCAGACTACCGCAGCACAAAAGCAGTAAATTAGAAATGCAAAGATATCAACCCTCCATGCATTAATGATACCAAAAAGGGAGCAAGCAGCCTGCTGATGTATAATCATAAAAATGGGATTCCTCAAAAAAGCAGAGATGCTTCAGTTTTCTATAAACTTCAATTAAGTTAAATATTCTACTTCCACTCCCCACTCCCTGCAGTTAAACTAGATTCTATTTTTCCTTTCTTTAAAAATTGTGGAATCATTTCTTTAAAGCAAATAGAAATATATAATCAATACCTTGTCAAATGTACAAACTTCTTCCTTACAGAAGAAAATTTTCATTATTGGTAAGTTTTTTAAAAAATCTGGTTTAACTTCAGACCCTTGGTTCAGATATGCTATGTGTAGAACTTATTATAAATGGCATTTACTTTTAGGTCAAAACAGCCTCCACACTACATTAGGCCAGTCTATTAAAATTCTCATTCATTCGTTTTACTTTAGATTAGGGGTCAGCAAAATTTTACTGGAGAGAGCAGGATGGAAACACTTGAGGCTTTCAGGCCACACGGTCTCTGCTGCAGCTCATCAGCTCTGCTGTTAGGAGGAAGCAGCCAGACAATGTGAGACCAATGAGGGAATCTGTGTTATAGTAAGTGTTCACTTACAGACTCTGAAAGTGGGATTTCTCAAAATGTCATGTCCCACAAAATGCTCTTCTTTTGATTTTTTTCAACCATTTCAAGTGTACAAATCATTCTTATTAGCCTGTAGGCCATACAAAAGGAGGCAGCAGGCCACAGTTTGCCAAACTGTTTTAGACACATGGGCCATTACCAAATGAAAGTGAGTTTCCTTATTAATAAGAGCTAATATTTCTTCAGTGCTTACTACACACCAGGGATTGTTCTGAGTACTTTGTATACATAAACTGACTTAGTCTTTACAATAACACTAGAGGTAGGTAGTTTTATCACCCCCACTTTACATACAAGGAAACAAGAGAAACAGAGTGACCTGGCCAAAGTTACAAAGATAGTAAGTAACCTCACTAGAATTTCAAACCAGGCAGTCTGGCTCTGTAGCTCAGGCTCTTAGCCAACATGTAACACTGCCTTAGTTCCTCCATGAGTATTCTGAATTGTACCGTAAAGCAAAACTGAACTCTGAACTGATAAACAATGCTACTTTCTACTCAAAGCAATAAATCTCTTCTTGAAAAAAAAAATGTTACAGAAAATCAGACTCATAAAATATCAAAGTTGAAAAAATCGCTGTTTTGAAACAATATTTTTTTATCAATTTAGTTCTACATAAAGTTCCTTTTCTCCTCTTCACTCATTAACAAGCAGAATTGATGCTTTTTACATAGCTAAAAATTGAGAAAGAATTGCCAAGTAGATTGATCTGTATATTGTGAACATATTGTTAATATTCTAAACTTCCTTTAAGAACCAGCAACTTTATATAATAACAATTGCATGTCTGTTTACATATAGTATTGTTTCTCAACAGACATGAAAACCTCAAATAGTCTATGAAATAACAATGTTTTTTTAGTATAGATTACCTACACTTCTTTATAGCAACCATACTATTTTATATAATAGTAACTGTCCTATATTAAGTAAATACAATGATTACATTAGAAAGAATTTAAAACATCTCTCTAGAAAAGATACCATTAAGAAGTTTAGCAAGGAAGCAGAAAAATAAATAAATCCTTACGTATGTTGCTGATGTAATTTTGCAATTTCTTTTTCAAAATCTTGAGGTTGATTAGGAATGAAAGAATAATCTGAGAGGTAGCCTGGCAAGTTTTCTGACTGATTGTAGTCTCCAAGTTCAGCTAATAAATGGAAAGAAAATATTCACATTTCAATAAACACATTTTTCAATTTTTATAGCCAAATCAGCAATGTCATGAATTCCACCATATTTCTGGAAGTAAGATATTTGTTTCTACTGTTATCATTTAAGCAAATTACAGTGATGCACTTAACATTCTTCTAAGTCTTAAACAATTTCAGAAAAATTTTTTCAGGAATCAAAGTAATTGCTAACTAATTGGATGTTTCATTACATTTTCCCTGCAGTCACTTTTTTCTGTATAGTAACATGTGTCATTACACAGAAAGAATTCATACATTAAAGGCAATGTACTACCATCACAGACCATGCAATCATACATATATGGCCCGAAAGTGGGCTGATACTTACACTGAACAGCAAATGAAGCCAAAAGAGCAGCAGTATTATAAGGACAGGGCAATCTAATAAAACAAGACAGAAAATATGTAACCCAAGGTTAAACACAATAATTTCAAAAGCACTATAATTTATAATATACTATTCACACTTGAAGTTTTTAAGTGACTAACATTCTATTAAGTAATGAACTTATTTGATGAAAGGAATTCATGCTACACGTAGCCATCTTTCAATAATCTGTTTGCAATGATTATAAACTATCGAACACAGAATTAAAAGTGTTTTTAAAGCTCATTACTAAAAACTGAAAATAGCCCACCTTCCAGTAAGAATGTCTTGTTTGATTTGCAAAAAATACTGGTACCTTCAAAAAAATAAAAAAGATAGTTAGCATTTATTGGAATTTTAACATTTAGAGTTTAAAAATTATATATTTACATTGACAAATCAAATTAAAATACTTAAATATTTGCTTTCATAACATACATATTAGCACATATAAAGATATTTTAAAATGAGGTTTCATAAATTCACGAATCTAAATCTTTAGAATCCTTTGATAAGTGAAATTTCATACTTCAAATATTTTGTTTCCACTAGCTTCTATTATAAAACTTTCAAGATTTTAAGAATTACATGACTGAGGGAGAAGATTAGGGAGAAACACTCTGAAGGTTGGTGTATGCAGAAAGTAGAACTGGGAAACAGAAAACAAGTCAGAGACGTGGAAAAGCTGACACTAGCAATACACTAGAGACCAACTGAAGAAAATCCTTCTGCTGAGATAAGAAGCCAGCTGCAAGGACAGGCCTATGTGTTGATCACCATATCATTAGGCAGCAGGAAGCTGCTAATTGTAGAAAAGCACCTTTTCATCTTCATTTAAGAAAGCTCTCTTTGATTAGAAAAAAAAAGTAAGTTTCTTTTACTACTATTGCTCTACTATTAAAATTGCCAAGTACCCAACTGCCTTTAAAACTAACAAAAATATAAGTATCCTATAACAAGGATGCTGAGGCTGCTTACAAGATGGCATTGTCCTTCTGTTCCTGCTAGTGGGTAAAGTCATTCCCTCACAGATGTACCAATGCTGAGGTAAAGTCACCTGTGCTACATAATGCTGGCAGAAGATTAAATTTTGTGGCTTTTACAAAAATATTTAAACAGGGAATTTTAAGACTTTCATTTCACCCCACTTAAAGAGTATACATACTCCAAGAGCCAAAAAGCGTAAAAAATTTTAGTTGTTTGGCTGATGAGTCATTAAAGAGTTCCATGACAATATTCAAATTACCAAAGTATGTAATTAAGGTTTTCAGAGAATCAGATATTCATCAGAAAATTTAAAAAAAAAAGGCTGATACAAATATCTTAGCTTCATATATTAGCAAAGTACATACACTCCCTGTGAGGCTTAGCACATAATACTACAGTATTATCTACGTATTTCTATCTGGCCTACTTGGTTTCAAAATTAAAAGTTAAAGATTCCTGGTGGCAAACAGTCTCATAGTTAGGACTGAAATGTGTATATCCTTGACTTAATATTGTAAATCCTACACAAATAATACCTATTCTTGTTCAATCTGATTTACATACAGAACAGTAAGGGCTGGTAGAGTGGAAGCTAGAATTAAAGTTCTAAGCTAAACCAGCCTGTTGTCTTTGGCAAATTAAAGTTTGGTGGAGCCTTAGTTTTTCTATTTGTAAAATGGAAGCAGTATCACTTGCCTAGTGTATATATCTAAGGGGCCCTAAAAAT